TCTTTCAAAAGAAGATAATCTACCTGGTTTCGAATTTTATCTTTGTACAATATATATTTATTACTATGTGTGATGTGTATGTTATTTACGATAGTTGGGTGGTGTCTTCCTAAAAGTCCTTTTTATTTAATTGATTGATCACTAAGTGTTGACCATTGAGATGTTTGTCTAGTTTTTTATGAATACAGTGGTCTTGAATGCTGTTGGAAGTATGAGGGCGTTTATCATTTCCCGGTTGCCCACACCGTGGAAAAGTTCTTCTGGAGGTACCTGAAAAGAAATTGGATTAAAGGTGGTCTTAGAGACCTGAGAGCGTGACCACGGTGCCCAAGCGCTCACAACCGACCACAATGATGTAGGTGTATACACTCTCTGTCTTCCTTTAAACTATAAGAATGAATTCGCTTCGTATCTTTCTTTCTACGAACTAATTGTTTCTTCCTGTACGATGTCTTTATACTATTACCACCATTGAATTAACTACTTCTATCAGTCCGATGCCCATCTTGTTGTGCTAATGAGGTATGGTAACTTGAACAGATGCATATATGTGCCTGGTCCTACGTTGTAGCTGACTAACTGATTGTCCAGTCCTTTGGTACTGACTGAATTCTATCAGTCAATTTGTGGTTTAGTCTTATTCATTTAACGTCAAATGAATTATGTTTAAATGCTAGGCAGTGGTTTGAAGTAGTCTATAGGAAACTCCGGATACAGATTTCATTCTATATATCATTTTTCAACAAGGTTCGCCTACAATCTTGATGGAACCGATAGTTTCCATAGTCGAAGATATTTTCACTGAGCTATTCGGGCTGTGAAAAGCGTTTTTAGAAGGACTGAAATATTAACATTATTCAATTACTGAGTAGTAAGTAACTAGTGTCGTTTTTTCTGGTAATTATTAATTCTGAATAATTGCTTTTTAAGTTTTTGTATATCTGTTCATGTCGTCAATCATCAAATATTACGACATTTTTGTGAGTAATGTTCGTGTTAGCTCCGTAGTTGTTGGGACTTTACCGCCGGAGACGGATATCCGTGGGATAAGGCAAGGTGTGCATTCTTAATACCGAACTTTTCTAACTCCACCCCTCCTTATGAGGATGCAACATCATTGTTATGCTGGTTGTCTGAAGGAAACATATTACTGCTGTCACACCTCTGTCCAGTCATCAGTACGACTTCGCCTTCGGACCTTGGGTCATGAGTCAAATGAAACTAGACAACCATAGAAAACCTGGAATTACTAGATGATCGTTTCTTCTTATTACGGGACTCTTCAACAATGCTTATTCATGACCTCATCTCGAGAGATTTAAACCCTGCTGAAAAATCCCACAATAAAACGAAATAACCATCCCATGCTTCTAAGTTTTTTTCATGGCGGTCTATCTTCAATTAATTCATGATTTCAGCTATTCTTTTAACTGAAAAAAAATCTTTATATAACAGTAAATTCCTGTCTTCATTGAATTCTTCATAACCATTACAATTCAATTCTACTAACTGTCTACTGATTACCAATTGAATTAACTAAACAACAATAAAAGGAAACGGAATTAAATTTACCAGATAGAAAGTGTTCAATATTCTACAAGGTCATCTCATCTCATGATTGAATAATGATTGTGTATTAAATGTAATGCAATAAAACAATTATGTATATGCAATTCGTTTAGCCCAAATTGAAGTTGTTGTTTTTTTGTTTTTTTTCCTCTGTCTATGATTTAAATACATAAGTTGAACATAAATGAATTTTCTTAATTGGAAACAGTTGCTTGTCAAATAGTATAATGTATATAGTATGATATTGTGTGCTTACTAATGATTAGCTTCGAGAAATGATTCTCAGAGTTCTAGTAAGAAGCTGTGACCAGTGAAGCCGACTAGTGTCGTATGTGATGTACTTAATTACCGAAGATGATGGAAGACTGTCATTCAATATCGTGGACTGGATCGAAATTACTATGATATCCACTAAAACCCCTTCTCACCAGTGACTGACTTCAAGATGGATTTCCTGGAGTTCTAGAGAGAAGCAGTGACCAGTTGAGTTCAGCCAGGTCTGTCGTGAGATAGTAACTCACTGATGACAATGGTGGACGGTGGTCTAGTGGTTAAGCGTTCGCTCGCGAGACTGACAGGTCCTGGGTTCGAATCACGCGTGGCGGAATTGTGGATGCGCACAGCTCAAGGGGTCTCATACTAGGATGAATAGGTCGTCCGGTGCTTCCAGGTTTTTTGCGGTTGTCTAGCTTTAATTGATTCATGATCTCAACTATTGAAATTACTATAATATCTACAAAAAACCCTTCTGATATTGATCGAAGTTAGACATTAACACCTTTGGATGCTGGCTCAGTGGTTCACAAGTTAAACGTTCGAGTGCGACATTTGAGGTATTGGGTTCAGTCACGTGTGCAGGACCGTGGACATACACTGCTGAGAAGTCCCATACTAGTATTACGAAGGCTTGATGAAGATAACTGATTTATTATTCAGTTCAAAATTACAAAGTGTCTTTGTAAATTATGAAAAGTGCACGTTAAACACTTCATCAGTTATCATTTGAAATATTCATGATTCTTCCAATTCCTTTTGTATTCAAATTCCTTCTCTCTTCACTTCATTTCAATCTTTTCAACTTTCTACTCGCAGAAATTTCACTTCCGACCGGTATTACATACTACTTATGTCTGTAAACATAAGTAGCATGCACCACTTATCTATAAAAAAAATCTTCTGGCCTTCATACACAGTTTCAACAATGGATTTGAAGGCAAATTTAACTGTGAATAAAATTTATATTCTATTTTTTAAGTCAATTGATAAAATTGATTAGAGTAATTTAGATTGTATTTGGCGATACTTTTTAACATGTACACTTTGAACCTTTACAATTCATGAGGTTCAATCTTTGGAAGGGGGTGGGTTATGATAAGTTCCTTTACACTAAGTCATTAAACCTTAATTTGAATGTTTCTGTGATGTGTCCTAATGATATCGACAGATATAAGTAGTATGTATTATCAATCGAAAGTAAAATGCCTGGCGACAGAAAGTTGAGAAAATCAAAGAGAAGAGAACGAGAACAGAGAATGATTGCTATGGAAATGAAGGAACAATCAAGTCTGAGACGACTGATTAGCATTTTGCAAATGAACTGTTTACTATATGATTCTCAGATTTTACTAAGGATTTCTGTAACTTTGAATTATAAGACATTTGGTTGTCCCTATTTGTGTTCTCATTCACTACAGTAAGTGTAGCAGTATTCTAAATTGTATATAAACGATACTGTAACAGGGATTAATGGAAAATTTAGTTATTGAGGTCAACAAAATCAAAATGAGGTCAGTTGTACATTAACAAAGTCAGTTGCTAATGATACTATAGCTCAGTTTAACAATAAATGACTTATCATTAGTTCCAAAAGACTAAATATATAAATTCCTTTCGAAGTAGAATGTGTACATGACTGACGGCTTCTAAATTACAATATAATAGCTATTGTTTTAATCACTTTTGATTTTCATAAATACCCTGGGAGGACCAGATGGTCGTTTCGTCTTAGTATAGGACTCCTCAACTGTGCACATCCACAATCCCTCACTAAAGGGATGCGAACACAGGACTTTCGGTTTCGTACGCAAACGCCTAACCTGTAGACCACTGAGTCAATCGGTATCCAACGGTGTTAATGTGTAACTTCAATCAATCCACAATATTGTACAACTGCCCTCCATTGTCTTCAGTGAGTGACTGCCTCATACCAGATACGGTTAAATTCCACTAATAATGGCTTCTCACCAGAACTTCAGGAAATTCATGTTGAATACAGTCACTAACTAGTGATTACATGATAATTATCAGTATGAGGATTTGTGAAAAATGTAATAATTTGATAGTTGAATTCATGTACCAACTATTGAACTATTAAATTACTACAATCTCCACAAACCCCCTTTGTGAAAATATAAATACCTGTATAACATTTTGAATGTTGGAAATGGATAGGACATACATTACGAAAATCATCAAACTGAGTCCTGAAACAAACCCTAACTTGGAATCCTGTAGGGAACCGGAAAAATGGAAGGCCAAATAACACATTACATCGGGAAATAGAAGCAAATATGAAAAGGATGAATAACAACTAGAAACTAATGGAAAGGATTGCCCAGTACATGATTGAATGGAGAGTGTTGGTGGGTGGCCTATGTTCCTCCACGAGAAGTAACAGGCGTAAGTAAGTAAGTAAATAACATTTTGAAAAGAAGATAATCTTTTACCAGTTAGTTAGGACCAGGCATATCTCATTAACACAACAAGATAAACATCAAATTCATAGAAGTGTTTACTTCAATGGTAACATCAATGTTTAATTAATGAATAAAAGACAATATAAGTATTTTCGTGAATTGGTTGAGGTTAGATATTAACACCGTAGTATGCCAGCCGGCTCAGTGGTCTATTTGGCTAAACGCCTGGTGCGAGACTGATAGGTCCTGGGTTCGAATCTCGCAGGGTGCGGGAACGTAGATGTGCACTTCTGCGGAGTCCCATACTAGGACGAAACGGCCGTCCAGTGCTTCCAGGTTTTCCATGGTGGTCTAGCTTCAATTGACTCATGATTTCAATCAAAAAATAAGTATTTTAGACTAAATAAAACTTCATAAACGAAGATGGATAGTGGCTAGAAGTGAAATCCAGTACACGCGTTTCGTCCTATTTGTGACTGGGCCCTGCATTTCAGAGTTGATGTTCACTCTGAAACTCGAACCCAGTATCGTTCGCTACAAGGACTAAACGCGCGTCCTGAATTCCACTGTTAACCACTATTCATCTTTGCTTAGAATGCTTGTAAATTAAGGCAATTTCAAGTCAATATGCACAGTATGCGCATACATCAATTATATTCCTAAACATTAATGGGAAGATTTAAGTAAAACTATATCAAATGAATTGAATAAAACTTCATTAATCTAATAACTAACCTGTTTTATTTTCATATTTTGGATTATCTTTAAAATAATTAATCTCATGAAGATGATTTCCATGAATCGATTCATCATCATCATCATCACCACCGCCGCCACCGCCACCACCACCACCACCACGATCATCATTAGGATTAAGTTCCTTGAATTGATTGAATTGATTTGATTTACTTTTCATTGTAATATCTATAGATTGTTTATTTATTGAATATTTGGATTGATCTATTTGATAAGTTTCTATCCATTTATTCAATACTTCATTGAATGTTTTTTGTATATTTATATGTTTATCATTTTTAGAATGATTTTTTATTTTATATTCCAAGTCACATAAAATTACATTAGAGATTATAATAAACAAATAAACACTATAATGTAATTTATGATGAATAGACATTTGCAAATTAATCATTGAATAGTAATACGGCATGATTCTCCTTCTATTGTCTGGATTATGTAATGTTATTTTTTTATTTTTCTTATTAAAAAAAAAACCAACGATATCACATTACCTCATGTATTAGATTTATATACTGATTGGTTTGACCCTTCAAGGTCATCACTGCGATTCGACCAATCAGCATTCAGTGTGATGAATATTTAATTCGTATTAGTAATTAGGGTGAGACGACCTTTGAGCGACGCTAAAGTGACCTTGAGAGCGTCTACCTGTACACTAGGGCTCAATAACGGTGATAAAACTGGTTTCAGAATGAGGATTCGGATTTACAGTTGATGGTTAAGGTTAGGAATTAGATTTATGGGAGGCTTTTCATCACGAACTGATATTAGCTATAATGCCAAGACTCTATTTAGTCAAATGGGTGAAGGAATTTCGCGGCAAAATCTCAAACCTGTTATTGTAGATCTGATTGATTCGTTCATAAATTATAATCTCGCTGTAATTAATGGATTAATTAAATAATAACTGAGTCATATCCTAAGAAGAAGAAGAAAGAAAGAAAGAAAATGTGGTTCCTTGGGTTTGGATTGCAGTTGTTAGTTGACTTTTTGTTGTTGTTTTCAGAGAAACAAACAATGAAAAAAAGAATTCGTTTTACATTTACCTCCAACGATCATATTTATTGATTGAAATCGTGAATGCGCATTGCTAAGGAGTCCCATACTAGGACGAAATGGCCATCCAGTGCTTCCAGGTTTTCTATGGTGGTCTAGCTTCAACTGACTCATGACTTCAACCTGCGAAATTTCTAAAATCTCCACAAACTCCTTCTAAAATTTATCAGTAAAGTAATTTAACAGTACAAATAATCACTGTGGGTTGGTTTGTTTTTAACATAGAACTACGTATCTATTGAATTTATTTATCAAAATTCGGGAGGTTCAGAAGGGGTCTTATGGATTTCAATAGTTGAGATCATGAGTCAATGGAAACTAGATCATTATGGAAAACCTGGAAGAACTGAACATCTGTTTCGCCCTATTATGGGACTTCTCAGAAGTGTGCATCTACAATCCCGCCTCGCGAGATTCGAAACCAGGATCTATCCGTCTTGTGAGCAAACGCTTAAACACTAGACCATTGAGCTGGCCGGTATCCAACGGTGTTAATTTCTAGCTTCAAATAATCCACGAAATTGAGCAACACATCTACCATTATCATCAGTGTGTTACTATCTCACAACAGATTTGGTTGAACTCCACAGGTCACAGCTTCTCACTAGAACTCCAAGAAAGAGAAAGTTTCAGTGTGAAAAACTACTCATTGCAATTCGAGTTTTCTTTTTAAGTGATGAACGTTATCATGTTTTATAAAACTTTCATGTAGATTGTGAGGGGGCGAGTAATAGGTGTAAGTAAGTAAGTCCTTATGATCAGTATAATTCTATCGATTTGTTATGTAATCATAGGTTACGCAATAAATGTATACGTGTCTAAAATGCTAATCAGTGTAGTGACTAATTGAACCATATGGAAACTCACATACTTCTTTTTAATTGTTAATAATATGCAGATAATATACATAATTGTCAGTTAACTACCAAGTTAACTTCTAAATGAAATCAACAACTGTCAGTTATATTCTTGTTAATTGATTATTAGTAAATAGATGGACATATTGTTCATTAACTTCATTCATTTCATCTACATTTAATTGGATAATACAATGAATCATCATGTTTGACCGTTCCTAATGAAAGATGTTATCATCACTCTTCATATTAGTAAAGAATTCATTTATTTACTTATGAATATGTCTGATGCATAAATATAAATTTCTCAGCTATTATATGCAATGATCGATAGTGACTAATTGTGGAATCCAATTTAATGAGTGTTTCGTCCTATTTGGGACTCATCAACTGGATGTACATGTATCTGAGAGTTGATGTTCACTCGCGGACTCGAGCTCAATCCCGTTCGATTCAAACGTCATCACGTTTGCCTGTGCAATGGAAAGATTCGAATAAACATTATCAAATGTATTTCTCAGGTAGTTTATGGATTACTTTATGGAAGAACTTTCATCATTTTAATGAAACTCCTAGAAAACTATAAAAGCCGACAATTCAGATATTATCACAATGAAGCTGATATTGCACACTGATACATATTAAATATTCTAAATCGATTGTTCATTAGTATTTGATTATAACAATTGTCTACGCAAAATACTTCAGATCCGTTAGCCAGACAATATCAGCAACAGTACTGTGGGAGAGAAAACACCAGACTCTAGATGAGGACGCAATCAGGAAGAAGCACTGCAAATAGATAGGACACATATTGAGGAAAGTATCAAACTGCGTCACAGTGCAAGCCCTCAGTTTGAATCCTCAAGGCCAAAGGAGAAGAGGAACACCAAAGAACACATGACACCGAGAAATGGAGACAGACATGAGAAGAATGCACAACAATTGGATAGAACTCGAAAGGAAGGCATAGGAGAGAGTGGGTTGGAGAATGATGGATGTTGGCTTATGCTCCAATGGGGGTAACAGGCGTATGTAAGTAAGTTAGTTTTGTCAACACGAAATAAAATACATCAGAACACCACTATAACATATAAAGGTGAATTGATAGGATTCAACATAAATTAATGCATCCAATTTTCAATCTAGTGTTAAAATAGTTTTCGCAATTGACTGATCACTAGTGGTTTCCTGTTGACTACCTCTAACCACCATCCTATCTCAACATAGTGCATGCAATGTCGAGCCACGTAGACTAGTGGCCACATTGCAACTTGGTCGATAGTATTCGATCTGCACTAAGAAGGACTTGACACACATGACATTGATCATCATCCAGGGATCAATCAATTGTGATTATATTATATACAAACGGAAATGATAAATAACTAACTTAAATGCACGAGTATTAACTTGATTATGATCTGTTAGACCGTGACTCGAACCCACTACCATCCGCTGCTAACACCGTCACATTATTCACTTGTCTATTGAGTCCAATTAGCCAAAACCAAAAAAGAAAGAGAAAAACGGTAATGTTTACCTATCCAAATATGCATCAATCTTGTATTCAACCGCTAATTACTGACTAAACATTAACAGTTAAAGCATTCACTATAGTCATTATCAGTAGTATTGAACAGTTTATATCATTAAACATTAACTATGTATTATGTAGTACATTTTTCTTCTTCCATTTCTAAACATCTTTTTGTTGTTAAAACAAATAGAAAACAACTATCCTGTAGTAAAGATAAAAGAATTTAACCCTTTTAATAAACATTAAACTATATTCGGAAATATTTCAGGCAACAAACGATCAATAATCCTGCATATTTTTGTCATTATACAGTAAATCAGTCAGTCAGTCAGTCAGTCAATCAGTTACAACGTAGGATCAAGCACATTTATGCATCGGTCCAAGTTTCCATACCTCATTGACACAACCGGATGAACATCGAATTCATAGAAGTAGTCACTTCAATGGTAGTAATGTATAAAAGAAAGATTGTATATAAGGATATAACACGGGAAAAAAGAATTTACATCTAGTTAGGTTTTTTCTACATTGCTTTGTTTCATTAACGTTTGGTGTTCATGAGAGACGTTTAAAACTAGCACAGAATCAAGAACTCATTATCATTAACCAATGAAAACCAGAGAGGGTTAGATATCTGTTATATCATATCATAGAATTCATTATCAGTTCATATCCGAGCACCAAACTAATGGCCGATAACATAACCTTTGTACTTCATATGGAGTGATTCACCTTTAGATTACTAAGCTTACATCCAATATAGTTTTTGAAAGTGATGTGTTTACCATGAATCATGAAAGCCAAGAACTTCGATAGCCGAGCGTTATTTAACTGACACAACCTTAAATGAATTTACTAATTTGATTTGATTTGTTCTACCCGACAAAGTAGGAGAAACCGTCAGACCCTTCTGGAAAAGATTAGAGCTTTTGCAAAGAGTACGAGATCGGATCACTGGAGAAATCAAAGCAAACAGACAGTTTAGTAGTTTACTTTGTTCTATTTCATATGTAATTAAGCACTTCAATTTTTGTAGTGCAGACGGACATGCTAACAGTTTATGCTTTACTGTCATATTCGGAAACTTTGAAGCAACCAAAAAGCGTTTGGACGTGGTAATATCGCAAGTATTTATTGCATGTGTATATAGTATGTACACGTCGAAGACATATACAATCTACAGTGCACACATAGGCATAGATGCGTGGGGTCACAAGTATACATTATTTACATGCATAGAGTGCATAGACCGAGTCCTACGCACTCCATAGTATATACATAGGTACAGATGCGATTCACTTCAGATCGTAGACCAGCGGTTACAAAATACTGAATGAATAACAAGTAGTCAAATCAATTGGGTTTTAAGTATTCATTCAACGCTATGCTGTCATCATGTTCATACCCCAAATAACTTTAGTGTCGACACCTGCCTGTTGGTTACTTCATAGTTTATGCTCAAAAGCGCTGATCCGCCCCTACCAGACCTAATGGGCCTTTTTACAGCCTGAATCTAGTCAGGTACCAAAAGCGAAATTCTTTCTTCACGCTTACCCATACCATATGCCCCGCTTTTCATTGATCATATTTTAAATCAAAGTGGATGAATAGCTCGACTCCCACCGGTTTATGCATAGTAGGTGATTAGTTCACGTTAGTTCATGAACGGAGGTCATTAAATCCAGGGCACCACGAAGATATACGGGTTGATCTCTGTATAATCACAGAAGAATCAGCGCCAAAGCAAACAAAAACTGTACACATTTTGGTTAGTAATTACTGATCACCTTGAATATTATTTTAGATCAAACCGTTTGTTGATTATTTAGTTTGTAATGACTTGAATTATCCCGTTGTCGAAAGTCTTGACTAAATAAAGACTTTGACCTGTTGTACAAATTAGTGGCTAACTAGAATAAGTATTTAAGTGAATAAAGCTGAAGGTACTGGCTTTAATCCGCGGTTTGGATATCAACACTTGGGTCCAGATTAATCGATCAGAAGGCTCGTGTTCTTGAGTCCAGTGCT